CAAAGTACAAGATTCCTACTTTAAGTCCTATGCAGAAGATAACAAGTCTCACAGAACATTTCCCTTCTGGTTGTGATTGGGCCCCCAGGTCAGTATTGGTTTGGAGGGAAGTTTCCACTTACTCTGATGACTGACATTTGCTGTTGTGAAAAGGATAAACTCAGGCCCTGTGCTAATCTCAGAGCAGTGATTTTTTTTTTTTTTACTGGTTTACATTTAAAACTTTCCCATGTGCAGTATCTAATTATGGTATATTACAAAAATCTGGATTTAAATGGTAACAGTGCACAATGCTGAAAGTGACTGTGTTGGTAAATTGCTTATTCACTTTGATGATTAAGCCCATAATTATTGCATTAGCATCCCAAACCACACTCATCTGCTGATACATCTCCTTTTAAGGCAATCCCAAGAGATGTGATAGGCTAAGTAGAAAGGGTACAGCACTTGAAGGAGGGCAAAGAACGTGTAGGAGACAGTGTCAGGGATTAAACAGAGGTTGCTTTCTTCAGCTTCTGGATGTGACCCAGGATAGTGCTAGAGTCTGGTACATCTAAAGGATTTTTTGCCGAAGAAATGTAAAAATAGATCCTTTCCACTAATGGCTATCAAAGAGCCTATGTCACTTTCTGTCAGGTCTTATTATCGATGTTGTACTCATACAGTAATCAAAGCAAATCATTTTATCTGGTCTGGTAAGATGGCTCCTCAACTTTCACACCAACAAGGCATGCAGCTGCCTACGCTCTTCTACGTTTCTTGTCCTAAAATGTTTGCTAACGCTGCTAACTGCTGTTTAACAGCTGTCTTCCACCTCCCCCCCTCCTAAAGTAACTCCTGTGTGTCTTCAATACATTTTTTTGAGAGAGAACACTTTATGGTCCCCCTAAAAGTAAAGACATAAAACAAGCGTCAGATACTACTTTGTGTCGGCAGCAGTTTTAGGCTTTATATGATACAATTCCAGGAAATGAGTTACTTGGCACAGTTTGTTTCATGGAAGACAGACCAGCAGTGTAGCCCGAACCCCTGCAGGTGCCACGTTAATTTCTCATCAATCTCCTGAAAGAATACACTTACAGACCCATTCCAGGGGCTATTTCAAGCCCAAGAGTGACATTTTCCACTCTCCTGGATTCTAAGAACTACTCTTTTACCTGTACCTTCTAGCAAGAACCAGCATTTTTTAAAGAAAATATTTTTCATGGAATTTATGGCTTCTTGAATTGAATCTGAGTATAGAAGAGATTTTTGAGACCGATACTCTGCAAATGAAACATCTTCCATGTATTTCCAGAGGTGAAAAACTGCTTAATGCTGTTTTTGACCAAATGGCCAGATAAAAATCTCTTACAAGTGTTCCTGATTACAGATCATTTCATTAGCATAAAACACGGGGAAATTTTTTCTCTCTGTAGAAGTATGTTAGAAGAATTCTCCAGTATTGGAGAAAAAATATAATTTTAAAATATAAAGAAATATGTATGAACCTCCAGGGTTGGGTAGGTAAAAAGCACCCTCAGCTGAAGATTTCCAAGCAGACCACAAAATGCAATCTTCAGAGGTAGTAAAACAGCATGAAAGGCAAAAATAAATCTTGTCAAGGAGGAGCGGTGCATGCCTTCTCCTGGGCAAAGTTTGAAATTACTTGTTCTAAAGCAAAGAAAATTGTTCCTCAGATATATCTTGATGAACTAGATTGAAAGTTGCCTTGGGCTGGATTGTAGTGCAAGAACTGCTCTCTGTGCCCTCACTTTATACCAATAACTATACAATCTATGTACCTCGAGAATAATAGAAGGTGGAGGGTGTTAAATATTTTTTGTTTTAAAAGTTTAGCTTCTTGTGTTTTGAGACACTGTCCTCCTTCCCTCCCTGCACGTATTTTCCTATACTCTTTCTTCACACTCTCCTTCCTAGGCATGCAGTTAGCATCTTTCTTTCCTAACCTAATTACACAGTCTCTTCCTTCTCCCCTTCCATCCCCAATGTAAAATTGCTTTCAGTGTGTATCCTCTCTCAAAGAGAGAAGCTGCCATTCTCTTTTCCTAAGAGCTGGAGAAGAGTCTACAAGTACAACTGAGGCATATTTCCCAGTAAGCAGTGGAGATTACCGGGGGATGCTGGCTGATGCATGGCCAAACACAAGCACACGGAAGAGACACTGGTTCAGGCAATGCAGCCAGCAGGGTTTAAGCATCCCAATGGTGCATGAGCTAGCAGTAGGCCAGAGCGGAGGTTGTTTTTGTGAACAGATCTCAGACACTATGCTGCATAAATAAGTGCCAACACGGACTTGGAGAGTGCACTGGTTTCGGATAGGGCGTACACAGAATAACATAGGCCAGGGAAGCAAGTACCCAACTTGCTGACAAATAACAAGTCAACAAACATCTAGTGTGGGTAAAAAAAAAAAAAAGCAGCACAACGACCTTGAAAAATGTTTCCATCTTACTATTTTGTCTATCTATCTGGTCCAAACACAGTGATAGTGTACAAAAAGGCTTTGGTTTGAAGACAAACAGAAACCAAAAAAGAAAAATATTTTGTAGGACATTCAAGTCCACCTAATATGGAACCCAGCAATTCAGCTTCCATCTGTGGAACTATTCCTTTTCTAATAAACCTCACTACCAGCAAGCTTCTCCTGATGTACATTATGCTTACCCTTCTCATTTAATCTTTGCTTATGTTACATATTATTTTTCCAAAGAATCCCTTGTTCTCCTTTGCATGCTACATCCTTCTAACATATAAAGGCAGTTTTGGTCTTTTTCCTTTCATTCCTGTACAACTAAATCCTATGCCCCCACTATGAATTGATCCTATAAATCAATTCATTCTCCACTAATTATCTTACTCCTATTTTCTAAATTTCTTCAATGTCTTTAGTCAGTATTTTTGAAAACAAAGATGCCAAGTTTAAATCTTCCCAAGTGCAGAACAGCATATAGCTAGATATCAAATTTATTGCAACAGGATATACTCAAAATCCACTGCTGCTTAACAGCTCCTCTTTTAGAAGTGCTGGGATCCTTCTGGGAGGAATCAGGTACGTTGCATCTTCTACTAAAGGATTCTCAGCTGCACCTGTAAGGCACTCAGTGTCTTGCAGGAGTCGACCTTAGATATATGCTCAACATTCTCTAGACAGATGTAAATTACAAATCCTCTCAAGCTGAGGTACTATTTCTAAATACTTTTTTTCCCACAAAACTGACTTAAAATTCACTAATTTCAGCTCAGATTGTTCCTCAGACACTTTTGCTACCTACTGACTGTCAATAAGACTAGCATCTAAACAGATACCAAAACACCATTTCTATCCTAATTGAGGCATTTTGAAAGACAAAATAACCTTCTACATTCTAGTTATTTTGTAATTCCTTTGATTGTTATTTATTCGTCGTGCAAAGCATATGCATAACTCCCACTTACCCACTGTTGAAGAAAGTACAATACCAAATAGCGGTGTTACCTTTCAGAAACAAATAAGCAGAGGTAGTCTGTTTAAATGCCACACTATGTCAGGTCCACAAAAACGCGCCCCTCTGTGCTGTAGCGGTATGAGCTTTAGAATGCAAAGTCCAAACCTCCGACCATTTATTAGTCTTGATCATTAAACCTAATGAAATTGCCTTGCACAGAAGCACTGAGAGAGAGAGCCAGAGGAAGGACTCAAGCACCAAATTCCTCTAAAGGCTAGAATGAGCAATCTCACTCCCTACAGGACATGGCAGAAGCGTGGGACGAAACAGCACCAAAACCTAAGCCCTGTAGGCTAAGCAGAAACCCACCTGCCAGCAGCTGGCAGGCAGTGCAAAGTGGAAAAAATGTGACTAAAGGCCTGAGCCCTCTGTGGCCCTCACAGTTCTGCTCCAGGCTCTTGGGATTCTTTGGTCTCTCCCCTCTCCTTTTTTTTTTTTTAAATACGGAGACTGCAAAGAAAAAGCAATGTATACTTGATAGTCATGAGGGAGGAGGAAAACCTCCCTCATGAGTGCTGCAGCCCCAACTTACAATGCCAGCGTCTCCCTGTTTGATCATGTTATCTTACCCAGTGGAACAATTTCAAAAGCTGGAAAGCAAAATGCCCATTTTGGGTATTTGCTCATAAGGTGTGGGACTGGATTTGGGCCTACCCACTCTCGAGGAGGAAGCTGAATCTGACTCCCACACTTAATGGGCAAATGCTTCAACCTCTCTGGGCTAACAGAAAAGATAGCAGCAAAGGTACACTGCTAACACCATTTTCTCTGTGAATGACTTTTAAAAGGAAAACATTGTGTCCTACAGAGGTCTTTCAAACAGCAGTTATAGAGCCCTCTTCTGGGAGCAGGGCTTAAGATCTGGATTAAAACAGGCAGAGGTGCTTTCGTTCATCCTAAATGATGCCAAATCTGCAGAGGAAAGACAGGAATGTGGACACATATTCATGCCTGGCATTTCCTATTGTCTTTCCCAAGGTCGCTCCTCTCTCAGCATGGGAGATTTTCAGGAAAGTGCTGTAAGGTGTATAACTCTTGGCAGGCACCACATGGGGGGCCTTAATGTTGAACTCTGGAGTTTTATATTCTGCTCTGGGGACCAAAATCCTAAAAGCAAGTTATTACAAAGCAAGGTTTTCTTACTGGATCTAGCCACAGACTACAAATCTCTCTTGTTGTTCTACTCTAGAAAAGAGCAATCACAGCAAAAAAGTGCAGCAACAAATGTTCTTCATAAATAGGTTTTATGTAATTAAAGCCATTCTGCACACTAAGTACATTATCCATCTTTTGGAAGCCCTATTAGAAAAATATAGAGAAACATAGAAAAATCTCTCTCTAGCAATTTTCCACAGAAAACACTCTACCTGCTGCTTTTATAGAAGCAGTTTCTTCTCACCTTGTATTTAAATTGTGTAGCAGTCAATCTGCCATAAATTGTTGCTCAGCATTGATATACAACATTTCTCCTGTAGGTGACAGAGAATTTAATAATAGACATTTTTTGCTCACCTCATCAAGGTTATGCCTCTTACTTTTAATGTGCATTTGAAATACATCTTCTAATGCCCTTAAAAAGAGTAAAAAGGAACATCAGTGCAAAAAGAGAGTATTCAAAGCCCATACACTTCCAAACGAAAAATATCGTTTGGCCTGTCTTTCAGATCACTTAAAATATACCCCGACTCTTCACTTTTGCTCCATTTCCCCGCTTCCCTACCATAGCTGTAAGTGGATTTAAAAAAAAAAGTCTTAAATATTTGTACAGTTGTTGAATATCCTCATTCCAAGTGCATGCTGTTGAGCAGGAACTGTGATGGGGAGAGCCTCTGTATGGTATTCCAAACTACTCTTCCACATTTAATACAGCGTGCTTTCCTCCAAATACAAGAGTGTTGGTGCTGTCCATCACAGTGCAGTAGCCCACCTCTGTAATTTGGTGGGGCCTATGTCCCTCTGTTGCCACATGGGTTTGCAAATACCATTCCACCACATGTTAACTGGGTGAAACTGCTCAGGGTACCGGGCAGTACTCTAAGACTCATTTATAGCTATAGTTCCTTTGTCCATTATAATTCATTACTCAGAAAGGACTTTTGAAATTGCCTCTAGCCAACTCCTTTAGATCTCTAAAGATCACTTGCACAGTCTCTTTGTACTCAGGCCTCCTTTTCAGTAACTTTTAAGGGAAATATTGAACTCTCATGGGCAGATTTTTGTTAACTAGGTATACTAGAGAAAGAGAGATGCCTTCAAAAAGCGCTCCCAGAATATTTTTCTTGATGGTTGCATAAGCTGCAAGCAAAAGACATACTAATTGTGATGAGCATCTATAAAAAAATAAAGACCTAACTGACTAGAGAAATTAGTTCTCCGGGTTCAACAATCATAATTTAGTCAAATCTAACCCAGTGACTGGGTTTTGAGAGTGTCATGGAAAATGTATATCTGCAACAAAGTGGAGGTCTCAGCAGGACTGTTTCAGCTACATACTGCACATTTGATTTGGGAGGCTACTTCGGGTTTTATCTGTAGAGAAGCTGGTCTAAATAAATGGAGGTCTTAATCCTGCAGCACATTAGCTAAAGCTACCGGTTGTATCTTTTATAGTGCATCACTAAAATCTATTTAGAAATTCAACTCTGGATTTAAAATAAAAGACCACTTTTTATTGTTCTTTTTTTTGTTTCTACAGAGAAATTAAGTTCTGTTATTAGAGCCTGCCCAAAAAAACAGTGGATCGTTATTTATGTATTTTTAGCAATCTTTATTTTATGAGTTAATAAAGTATCTAAACAACCTCCATAAACAGCCCATGGGGGCTGACCTTCTGGAAAGCAGCTCTGTGGAGAGGGACCTGGGGGGTCCTGGTGGACAACACGTTGACCATGAGCCAGCAATGTGCGGTTGTGGCCAAGAAGGCCAATGGTATCGTGGGCTGCATTAGGCAGAGCATTGCCAGCAGGCTGAGAGAGGTGATCCTCCCCCTCTACTCAGCCCTGGTGAGGACACATCTGGAGTACTGTGTCCAGTGCTGGGCTCCCCAGTACAACAGAGATATGCAGCTACTGGGCTACGAAGATGATTAAGGGACTGGAGCATCTGTCATATGAGGAAAGGCTGGGAGAGCTGGGCCTGTTCAGCCTGGAGAAGAGAAGGCTCAGGGGGGATCTGATCAATGTGTATAAGTATCTGAAGGGAGGGTGTTAAGAGGATGGGGCCAGACTCTTCTCAAGCAGTGCCCAGCGACAGGAGAAGAGGCAATGAGCAGAAACTGAAGCACAGGCAGGTTCGTCTGAACATGAGGAAAAACTTCTTCACTGTGAGGGTGACTGAGCACTGGAACAGGTTGTCTAGAGAGGCTGTGGAGTCTTCATCCTTGGAGATATTCAAAAGCCATCTGGACACAATCCTGGGCAATGTGCTAGGTGACCCTGCTGGAGCAGGGGGGTTGAACTAGATGATCTCCAGAGTTCCTTTCCAACCTCCACCATTCTGTGATTCTGTGAAGTCAGTCAAGAGGTCCTTTCACCTGACAAGCCTGCCGCATGGACAACTGTCTTCCCAGCAGCGTTCCGAGTTGTGCGCAATATGGGAGCATGCGCACAATCCCTGCTGCTATCACATCACAAAGGCAAAAGTTTATGTTCTTCTGCACTCGTTTTGTTTTCACTGTGTATATACAGAGAAAAATTTCATTTTCTGAAGGATGACAATCCTTCTTTTAATTTGGGCCTGATACATAGTAGCTTTTTGAGATTTTATTTGACTGTTATCTTATTTATAATTGTATGTATGGGCATGCATGATACTTAGCAACCTCTTAAATATGCAGTAAGTCAGTATTTTTAAAAGCCAGTCATGTTCCTCCCAGTGTGAGCAAAAAATTAAAAGTGAAACCTGATACACCTGCTTCTAATATGAGACTTTAAATTAGTCTGAAAATTGCTATACCTGGAAGGAAGGAAGAAAATCAGTATCTTTAACTGATTGCTCAGAAAAATCCCCACTCATGTTTACAGCTCTTAACAAAGAGTCTTAAAAGACCCTTAAGGATTTTGACTGAAGTTCTCTAGATTGAAAGGGAAATATCTCGATCTGATGTCAGAACAAGTCTGACTGATTTCAGGGGTTAGCACTCTGCAGCCTCAAAGCACAGCAACTTGATGAAGACTAAGTCTTATATACAGGGGTTAAATTATCTCTTAAAGGAAAAGTGTCTCCTGTTTAAGACGCAGGCCAGGAAACGCTATAGGAAATGGAAGATGCAATATTGTAGCTTTTAGCAGGCCTACAAACAGACCTGTGGTTTATCATAGCCCTCTAAATACTACCTACTAGAAATGTGATAGACAGAAAGGGAGTGCATGGTGGTAGGTGTGTGTGTATGTTTGTGTGTGACAGAATTTCATGTATAGAACACGAAAACATTAAAGGATGCTGCAGTTAGACAGCAGCACTACCAGGTATTTTGACTCTACTTTATGCATATATCTTACAAAAAACGATTGTATTTTTTATTTTGCTCTTACATTATGGAAAAAGAACTCTCAAGACAAAATCTTTTGCACTTTGCTAAGGAAGACTCATTGCTGTTTCATCATATGTTAGCTCAGGATTGACTCAGATAAGAACTGGAATCAGACTACTGCAATAATAAAGTATACCACCATAAGGGAATGAGCTTGAGAAGAGAGTACGAGAACATAATGTTTCTATGCTTCTGCTAGAAGTTACTGGGAAGTATAAGGCTCACTGAAAACATTTTCTGTTCAGCTACACAGCTTAAATCATGACTACTATAAAGTGCAATCACAAAAGTATGCATCAAATTAGACTGATTTCAAGTTTCACTTTAATCTCATTAAAACCAGTTCTTAACATTAATGGAATGGCTGGTCAAAAATTCTTTACTCAAATGAATAAGAAATGCCAAGTACTTACGCTTTGTGATAACAACTTCTAATCAAAATATCATTTGTAAGATCTTCAAGAAAACAAAGATAGTCTTCTGCTCTGTAGAAATACACAAGCCGTTAGCATCTTTCTTTAACATTCACCGAATACAGTACGGTTTAAATATCTAAAATTATCCAAGGAGGATTTTCACTGGAGGGCAGTTTTATAGTAATTAAACTAATTCAAATACAGAATTTTGTCAATATATTCAAAAGAGATGAATCTCTTTACTAGTCTGAGGTTTTTACTATCCAGGAATATACTCTCTTAAATGACTTATTTTCACAGCTCTGTTGGTCAGCTCCCTAATTACTTACTAACCAATTAATTTTATTAATTAAGAATATCTGTGTCTTCTACAAATAATCAATCCAAGAAAAATAGCTGCAATGGAGAGAAAGCGCAGGTATCATGAGACAAATCATTACTAACTTTTTGGTTTATGAAAGAAATGACACCTATTTAGTTTGCCTACAATAATGGGGGACTGGATGGCATGACCCAGAAATCTCTTCCAGTTTTCTGACCCCACACTTCTCAAGCAAGCAGCGGAACCTATATCCTTAGCAGTGTCACTTTTGCTCACCATATAGTCTGTTTGTAATTAATTGGCTCTTGCACCAATTTTCCAATTTTCTGTCAGGTTCTACTTTAATATTTTGATATAAAACTTAGAAATAGTTAAAAGGGAAAAACGAATATTTAACTTACTTTCCTTGAAGTTGTGATCTTGGAGAAAGTGGCATGTCAGAATCCGTAAATTGTAATTCATGGTTCTGCCATGATAAGTAAAGAGAAACAAGTAAAGAGAAAAAGTAGATCCTTGATTATATTTGTATTAGCATTTTATATTTACTTTCAGAGCTCTAGGAGCAAATAGTCTGATTCCATAACATATCAAAATCAGAACAACATCATAGTGAAGTGGTAGGCCAGCTCATTTGAAATGAATGTCTTGAGTGTCAATCACTTCTATGAACAAAGAAAAAGCATTATTATCAGGTGGATTCATGTTAGCAGGAACAAAAACAAAATAAATAATCATCTCAGAAAAATCATGCAAATATAAAAGAAATGAGAAATTCTGAGGGGAAATATTTGCAGAACTCACTAATAAGAATTTTTTTCTTTCAAAGGATATGCAAAATACATTTATATCTTCGAAAGGCAGATAAAAAGATACAAAAACATTGATATCAAAGTTGTCTTTCAGTGCAAGGTACAAGAGGATTAGCAGATGGGAATAGGACTGAATTTAGGAGCTTCTGTTATTTATGTTGTAAAATGAATATTTTGTTGGTTGGATTAACGTATGGGAGAGAGCCAGGCAGCTTAGGGCTAGCACAAATGAGGCCCACAGTGTCTTGGTTGAGCTGTATATCCAATATAGACCCTCTAAGGAGTTTAGCAGGCCAAAAAAAAATCACACAGAACCTCTCTGTCATACATGGCTTCAGCAACTGCTACTCTTCTTATTTTTAAGAGCACTAAAATTCACTAAATGAATCTTCCCTCCATTTTAAATATCCAGATAACTAATGCAGTGCAACTTTCATGCAAAGCCACGTATGGCATACTACTGTATTGACTGTACCCTGAGTTTTTACCACTTTGCCTGGAAGTTTCTGGGCTCAAAGTTACTATTTGGATGAAGTGAAAAGTCAGTAAATCAGCTACAAGCTTATATGATTGCTTGAAGTGCAGCAAGATGTTATTCAGCTAGGAAAAAGCTTTCCTTTCAGAGGAATAGATTTGTGTTGGAATATACTGCTTTTCATATATCATAATGCCTATTTGTGTTCTTCAGAGAGACCCGTTACTTTACTTCCTATTTTATTCACTGAAGACTGTTGACTCTATCTAGTTTCATATACTAGATTTCTCTATTGCAATTTTAGTGACTGCTCACAACATGCCTTAAGTTTTTCTTTTTGCTTTTAACCTATATTTCCCAAAGCCCCTTAGATTATCCTTCTTTTATCCGCAGAAGCGGGACAACTTTTGTACATGAATAATTGTCTCAATTATTTTTCTTTATAGCAAACTGGGTACACCAACCTCAACTGGCTTCTCACAAAAGTGATCCGAATGCGGTCTCACAAGGGCATCTTCTAAAAAACTGAAAGATTAAAAGCAAAATGAAAACCAATTATTTCAGTTTAAAATTATGTTTTTGAAAGTGAAATCACTACAGTTGATTTGCTTAACATTCAGCACTGATGTGTAAACAAACTGATTAAGTACCTGTGCAAATCTCTTTTCTTTTCATTGCTGGCATCCACTGATTTCAGTGGTGGTCTGCCAGGTGAGAAGCTCTTTTTTTTGTGAGGAGGATTATAATATCTATGTTTTACAAGAACAGACTGGTGTGATGTCTTTAAGATTCGAGGGGTAAAATATTGCTTTTTCTCTGTGAAGCATACTGAATGTTTGTCAAGGAGGTCTCCGGAGTAGGTTTTGTTGATAGAGTTTTCAAATGTCTTCTTCCTGCAACTGCTGATATGCACATGCAGGAGTGATGAAGCAGATAATCTGCCTGTATTAGCTACATGAACATGAGTTTGAGACAAAGCATCCTGAGCAGGATTTTGGATAGTCTTTCTTGTAGTAAAAGCTGGTGAGAGAGTTCTTGAAGGGAGCTTCTGAAAAGGCACAAAGGGGGGCTGCTCTCTCTTTGTCATGGAGCATTTGTTCCTACCGGACTGCAAATACAGCTGACTGTTTTCCAACAGTGACCTACTTCCCTGTAAAGTAAAGAAAAAAAATAACTTACAGCAAAATCATAAAAGTAATTCACTGAAGAGAGCGTCTCCTAGAAGCTGATTCACTCAGGAGGAAGTTTGAGAACCTGCCTTCAAACTCACTGCCTTAGCAGGAACACTGCAAGTCTCACTGTCTCAAGCAGTATAAATGACTCCCAGAGCTCTAGGAACTGCAGTAGGTGTAAAGCCACCCTGTTCTTTGTCTAGTTTCTTTTGTCTTCATTCTCTTTACAAGGTTGAGTTTGCTAATGACAAGTAGTCTTGGGGAATTATAAAAACTCCATTATGTTTGGGAGGGCTCAAGGAGAGAGAACAGAAGATTTTTCCTTTCTTGTACTTTATGCATTCTCATTTATGGAACTGATGTCTCAATGGCAACCTTACAAAAGCATCCCAAAAGCACTGGGATGGCACCTTCAATTCTCCTTCTTTGTATATCCCTGCAAGTATAAGCATAACTCCATCTTAAGCATTTGACTTCAAACAGAGAGGCACTGTTATCCTTATAGTTATAAATAACATAGGTGAAATCCTTGCCTATCATTTTGTTGTTTATCTCACTGGGAGCAAGATTTTACAAATCAAAATAATGCAGATGTTTGAGTTGGATCAATGGCATTCAATGGTAATCTAGTGGTAAACTCACTACAATTCTCAAAAAATATGAAGTTTTACAATCAATAAATACTCTTTCAAATTAAAGAACGACTGTGAGAATGTTGGTAGAGTAGCTTATACTAATCTTATTCCTCTTTCTGAAAAATTTGTGTAATCATAGATTTAATGTTGGAAGGGACTCATGGTCACCTTGTCCGACCCCTTGTGTCTCATAGAATAAAGAAACCTAATTGAGCCCTTCTGTATCCAGTCCAGTAACTGATGCTAATGCATAGCTTCTGTAAAGTAACCTAACCTCATTCAGTTCCTGGTAAACAAAACAAAAGAAAATGCCCTTAAAAAACTCCCAGAGATCTAAATGTGAAAAAACAAACAAACAACCCCCCTCCCCCTCCACCAAATCCCAAATGATCTGAATATAAAAAGGTGAGGAAAATTTGCTCCAAGGAGAATCTGGACTATGACAGAATAGAAATATTTTGCAGGTCTTTGTAAACTGAAGTCCACTGGCAGAATTTGGTGAAGAACAGGCCTACTCACACTAGCATGAGGTCGTGGAGCGTATCTGGTAGAATATATAGAATTAGGATTAATGATTTTAGCGTTTTGTTTTTTCAATAAATACAATTATGAAATTTAGAGGATACTGTAAAACAATGTAAAATTATTGCATTGTGTTATTTGAGTGGGAATACTATGAAAATCTTTGGGATTTCGTTCTCTTGCAAATGTTGTTTAAAGAAATATTCCTAATAAGAATGTCATAAAATACACATCATATACCTCATTGAATTATTTCAGTACATTATCTAATATGAAATCACTCAATTTTTGTTTCTAGGGATCCATGTAATGATGTAATTATCCATGTAATGTAATACTAATTAAGTATTAACATATCAGTAATACTATTTCAACTTTAAGTTCAATCACCATTTGTCAAAGGAGCAAAGAGGTTGCGTGTGGTTTTGTGAGTGTATGTGTACATGCATGCTGTCAGTGGAGAAGCCATGCAGGGATACCAACCGTTCGATGAGAGGATAGCTACCATATCTAGCAACAAACATGATTAAGTCCTTGCAATTTAGGTAAAACCTTCAAGCTCAGTGGGTCATTCAGGACATATATGTTGATCTTCATTTGACTAGAACATAAAAAGCCATGCTGAATAGACCTGCACTTACTGCTGTGTTAGAAGCACCCCCCCCACCAGTGCTTCAGACTACAGCTAAGAGGAAATGGGTCTCTTTTATGTGACTCCATGCTACCTATGTCACAGGTCCCTCACTTTCAGAACATCACTTACCTTCTGCTGACCTGGAGAAACACTTCTAGAGTTGAACGGTGAAGCAGAAAGACTATATGCATGATCCTTCTTGTACTTTTCAAGGGCTTGAATTAGTCTATCTCTTTTCTGCTGATCCTTGTCTGCACATGTAAAAATGCAAACACAACCCTTATAAAATTAAACAATGGTCAGGTAGTTATTACTTTTCACTCTTCTTTTGCCCGCTAAAGACTTTGCAGTCTCCTTCTTTTATTATCAAGTAGCCTACAAAGATGACAATGGTTGGTATGAGCAAGTCCTTCCTGCTCCTCGCAAGTACACATCCTTATCTGAAATGAAATTCAGTCCAGGACTACCCTAAGTCATTCACACAGTAAGTAATGAGTCACTGAAGGGTAACAGAACATGGCATTTTGCTCCTGCCCCCTGTCCACTCTCTTTTCCCTATCCAAAAAGATCAGACGACACAGACAGGAGGACAGGAGCTGACATAGGTCAAAACAGAAGAGAGGCAGAGGTAATGTGCCCTGTGACAAGGAAATATGCCTTAAAAAAAAAACAAAAACTAGATACCGCAGTAGACAGTTTGCCTCGCGGAAGTTTGTGACAGCTTTTCCAAAGGGCACACCACCTGTTGACAATTTTCCTGTAAGGTGGCCTCAAAGCTGTGGCCTGGTCATTGAGAAAACACAGATTTCAGTAATAGCTAAAAGAGGGGAAATACAGTCTCCCGGGCATATAATCTGGCCTTCCAGGCTTGCATGGACATGAATTTATAGCATCATTCTATTAAGAAAAACATGTTGACAATGCTAATTCCTATTTGGATGACTAGGAAGCAGGATTATACGACTCACTGGAACAAATAACGAAATGTACTTAGTAGCTTTCATGCAGAGATTAACACCTTCACCTTTTATCTATGTTTGTGCAGTGCCCAATCAAAGTGCACCCCAATTCTGATTAAAGATTTTGCATTCTGTTGTCATAAAAAAAAATAGACAAAGCAGCTTGTTTTGCGTCTAAGCAGCAGTACTGCCAATAAGGAGACCTGGCTTATTTCATGGCTGTGCCAAAGATTTGTTGGGAAGCACTGGGAAAAACACTTCAATGCCTTTCCATTCTTCTGCATGTGGTGTCTGCTTTGTGTGCAGGTGAGGCAGGACAATTGTCTATCCCAGGCATGGCTGAGCCTTCATCAAGCCTTACCAAGGACAAAAAAAATCAAAGGGTCCAGGTCAAAGAGCTACAAATTTTGAACAGACTTTGTTTAGTATTTCACTGATATTTTTACTATAAATACATGCTATAAATGTGCCACATGGCATTAAGCCTAGTCGAACAGCCACCATTCCACTGCATTATAGTTTCATTTTTTGAGAAGTTAGCAAAAACTCCGGGGTCAGAATGCCTCTTAACAACTCTTTCTCCCCTTCCCTAATAGACAACAGGTTTCGTTCTCAGACTCCCAGGTTTTGTAAGTGTCTCAGCCACACGAAGCAAACTGAGGGGTCCTACAGCACATCCAGGTTTGCTGTAACGCATCTGCTAAGAGATCTGCCTCTCCACCTTTTAGCATCTCTCTCTCCCGTTTCTCTATTCTCATTACTAGTTTTTCTCATTCGTGTTTTTCCCTGTGCCCCTTCTCATGACTTCAGGGCTGCTGAATCTCGCTTGCTCCTGACAGCCACCTACGGCCAGCAGTGCTCCATGCTGTTTCCTTTCTACATCTCTCCCCTCCTACATCTATCTTCCTAAAATTACCTCACCCCGCAGTAACCTGGCACGTTCCCCAGACGCTTGAATGAAGGGGCTAGGAGTGGAAGTCATTCTAGCTTTTAGCTGATTATTTTTTCCAGCCATATTTTTTCTTTTCACATGTTCTTCTTAAAGTTCTGTGTGAAAGCTGGTTGCTACCATGTCACGTTGAGCTTCTTGGGCCAGTCTTATGTATTGCTCCTAAACACCTTCCTGTTCTTCCTTTCACCAAATACTTTCTTATAATAACTATCAATGCCCAAGAATGAAAAAGAGACTAACATGCAAATTCTGTATATCAAAATATAGCTGTCTTTTTTTTTTCCTTTTGGAAGAGCAAAAATGAGACATCCTTTGCTTTCTGATCCCATGTCCTAGCTGAAGTGTTTAAGGACAGGCTGTAGTATATGGCTAAGCTCAAAACTGGAAACATTTATTTGGGGGGAGAGGGAGGAGGGGAGTTCACTTCTAGAAGAGGATCATGATACAGCATTTTTCCCATAGCCTCTTACAGGATGTGACTGTTTTTATCCCAGCAATAGCGAGTATCTCTTGGCTACTTATTTGCTGCCTCTAGGAGAATACAATCTCGTGGTATGGCCAGTACAGCAGTTATTTAGGCAAATGTATTCAAGAGCCCTCCTGTTAAGCTCATTTATTTCCTAATTTATCATTCTTCCTACTGTGGCAGCCATTAATTTGTCAGTGTTATTGCACAATTTCACTGTTACTTCTACTGGTATCTGGTTCTTGTCAATGCAACAAGAAATAAAGAAAATAAAAGGGATTTAGTTGAAATCTGGTCCTTTTTAAAACACGGTAAGATTCAGATGCTATAGCTCCCACTCTGTTTTCCTGGCAATTCTTGTCGTTTAATGAAAAATCTTGTCTCTCCTTTACTGCTGTGTGAAAGGCCTACGTACAAAATAAGCCGACACTAATTTACTCTATGTAGCAGAAACAGTTTAGCTGATAATAAAGTTCTAGCAGAGCAAAACAAACTAAACCACTTTTTTTAATCTAGTGTTTTTCAGTTCTACTTATCTTAAATTTAAATTGTAAGAAGAGCAGGCAAACACTTTAGAGTGATTCCACAGCCGCCTTCTAAAAGAAGGTTATTTTCAGGTCTAAGTTAGAACATTATGGTCCAAGTATGAACATGGGATAATAATGCCAGAACTGGCTTTTCCTAAGTTGTTTACCAGCTGTTACAAAACTCAATGATTATTATAGTTAGAAATATTATCCACACCTTGGCTCATGTCTTCATTTTTGGCTTGCGGTAGGAGTTCTGGTTAACTTCCTACCAAGTGTTATAATAGAGTTGGCTGATGTTTAACTTTTAACGAGTTTTGAGACAAAAGGGAAGGTTCACACGACTGCGGGGAAAAATAATAGCTAAAGTGGTAAATGTATTCTAGGCATGTCAGACCGACATCTGTCCTGAGCATAGTAAATGAATGACTGTTATAAGACTTGGTTAAGGTAAATAATATAAGCAATGCCAATCAAAAAAGGTTTATGAATAATCATCCTGCTAACTTGATTAAAAAAAAGAGATTTTAGTTGTGGCTGAGTGAGATAAAGTGTTGACTTAAAAGACTTCTGTAAGCTATTTGGCTTTGCCCTGCATGACATTGGGACTAAGGAATCAGGATGCTACAAGATTAGGTGTGTTTAAAAAATTCCTAACTGGCAGATGTGACAGTGTAATTAGAAATGAGGACTCCTTGCAAGCCAGGTGCTTCTAACACAAGGATCATTTTTGATATTACATTATTAAATTATTTCCTTCAGTTATCAGAAAGAGAACATAAAATTATTTCAATAAAGTTTGAACAATTACAACTGCGGAATTTGTGAATAACAAAGGAATGGTTTTCTCTAACAAAGTGATTTGTATCACTCAGTGAGGTAGATATAGGGAAGGAGTATGTATTTCAGCATAGATAGCTGAACATCTCAGTTCAGAGAAACCAGGCTATTATTTATAGGAGGTGAGTCTAATCTCGGAACCAGTGTCATGTTGCTGAAAAACACTTGTATGCTCTGGTAGATAAGCAGCTGCCTGTGACCTCCCACAGTGCCACTGTAGCCAAAACTAGTATTGTATTGTCTGTAGAGAGTGGAAATCTCAAGTGTAAGTACAGTGAGCCTTTACTGCTGTTTCACTTGACAGGTGGATGACTACTACTAGAATTGCATGTCCTCCTCTAAAACTCTACTATCTAAAAAGCATTTATAAATTGGGAAAGATGCAGAGAAGATCCATAAGCATGATGAAGTCTGGAAAACATGCTTCATAGTGAAAGATGTAAGGAGCTTAATATATTTAGTTCCCCAAAAGGATGACTAAGAAGTTACTTGATTCCTTATAAGTACCTACAGACAGAACAGAAATTTAACTATACAGTCTGTCGAGCAAAGATTTAACGAGGCTGGACAAATTCACACTAAAAGTAAGGAGTACATTCCTCACAGCGAGGTAAATTAGCCTTTGGAATAGTTTAATGAGAAGTGAGATGAAAATAAATGAGACTCGGGTACATTTCTAAAAACCTCCAAAACTCTGTAAAATAGGAATGAATGCAGGGAAGACTTAGGGTAAAAATTAGGCTGGATAATCGCAAAAGTATATTTTTACTGTATCTACGAAACTCTGAAACATATGTAAGTTATTATGGATCGCCTATCAACTTACTTGAAATTTCATTTTTCTCAGTTTTTACTGCTATTGTTAACTGATAACATCTCTGATTTTGGGGCGGTGCATACAAGGACAGTTATGCATGGTCACAACTATGGGCCAAATGCTGTAGTCCTGCACTGGCAGTAGTTTGTCTGGTGTAGTGATTGCATAATTTCACATTTCAGAGCAAACAAGACCATTTCCTTCAGCAGCAAGCAGTGACAAGCTAGGCTGTAATGCTTAGATTTGATTTGAGATGCTCTTTGCCAATGTTAGCTATCATTTCGAAAAGCTGATGTTGGCATATTAATCTACAGTGCGTAGGTGTTTTTTAAGCCCAAAGCTCTGCTTCAGCACTACTTGCTTTCATCAATATTTAAATGCTGCAATACTATAAAGTGAGAGGATAACGATGATTTTATAGGGGAAGAAAAACCTCTAAAATGCCAGATATACTCAGTAAACACTCCTAAGTGACACTGAATGTTGCTGTTCACCATTTTGTTTTCTAATCCCATACCAAATTCTGCTCATTTTACTAATGCAAGTGCTCACAGGGACATTAGCAGGAATTTTCTCAAGAGGAAGGCAAGAAGGAAGAAGCCCTCTGTAACGAATCATTCAATCTGCAAATTCTGAACTTGCAGTCTTTGGCTATAAGCCGTGTCTGCTGCAACTGGTTCTGCCTCACTA